GTTATACGTGGGGTGACCACTCGAGAAACTGGCTGCGCGAAAGTTTCGCGAAAGGAGATGCAACAGGAAAATTCTGGAGAAGCAATTTAGAACCACCGGCACGTGCAGGAGCCGAAGGAAATCAAGTGGGGCGAGTCTGGCGCCGCCTACGTGTGCGAGTCCACAGGCGGGCTTGGCTGCTTGTGTAGGCCCGTGTCAGCTGTGAGATGTTTGGTGTTTCGAGGCATTTTCACCACCAAGGAGAAAGCTGAGCTGCATTTGCAGGGGGGCGCGAAGAAGGTGATTATCTCGGCACCGCCCAAGGACAGAGAGGGTATTGCTTGCCATGCGTTCTAGGGGCCCTGACTGTAGGGAGTCTGTGGCTGCTTCGACATCAGAAGCCCTCTCTGAGCGGTCTGGCTGCTACAGGATGACGTTCCCATGTATGTGGTGGGCGTGAACCACACTGAGTACAAAACGACGGACACTGTCGCAACTTGACAGATATCTTCCGAACCTTTAGGTTATCGATCCGATGGACTCAGACTCTGAAGCCGAAACGGCACATGTGGGTGACAGTCAGAATCCTTTGGTCAGTGGTGCAACCCTGTCAGGTTTCCAATGCCTCCTGCACAACTAACTGCCTCGCTCCTCTGACCAAAGTCGTGCATGAAAAGTTTGGCATCATCGAGGACCGGGCTTTGCTTCGTGCAGCTTGAGGCTGATCCCTTCGGAAAACCTTGAGTTATAGCCATGGTTGCAGGGCCTGATGACCACCGTCCACGCCATGACGGCAACGCAGTTGACTGTGGATGGCCCTTCCCGCGGCGGGAAGGCTGGAGGGTCATGGAAGGTCTCAGAATTTTCTTGGGTTCCCAAGAAGGGCGACACCTAGCAGAGGTAGCAAGCCTCATCCCGTTGCAGACACCTGGCACAGGACTGGCGTGGTGGCCGCTGCGCCTCGCAGACTCAAACCTGCAGTTGTTATCATTTGTTTGGGGAAGATGCGGTTCCAAAGAGATCGCTTTTGCCAGACCTTTTTAGCGCTGCCGCCCTTCAAGCCGTTCATCATGCCTACATGCAGTGTCATTTGGCAGCGCAGCAACTGTCCCAATCACGTTCCAAGGAACATCATCCCGTCCGCCACCGGCGCTGCCAAGGCTGTCGGCAAGGTGGGAGAGGATCGAGTCCAGTTTTCGTTGAGCAAAGAGGTGGCGTTTTGAAAAGTCACTTGAACCGATTTCCTCGCGGCACCGCACCCCCACTTGTGGCATTGACATACATTGACCTTAGCGGTGTGACCTTGTAAGATTGGAGGTGATCCCAGCCATGAACAAGAAGCTTACCGGCCGCTTGGAAGGTAGACGCCTGCTAATACGTTGCCTTCAGCATACCGCAGCATACTGCAGCAAGCGATTGATGTGTTGACGCTGCCACCCGTGTGGCACACTTGCATG